GTAACATCTTAGTAGGTACAGAACTTAATCTCAGACAAGATGTATATTTTCATATATTTATATATGAACACAATTTATTTTGTATACATCGGGGAATCGTGAAGATTTTATCGGTGAGTATGTAGACTCGGAATGACAAAGATGAATCTTGAATTATCAGACGTAGAATGATAAGGTTGTACGTCAAAAGGGAAAAAGCCCAGAACAAGAGTTAAGGTTCCAAAGTTATTATTAAGTGAAATTAAGAAACTCGACAAGAAGATGGGTGTCACGATTTCAACATGCGGCACAGTGGAGACGGGTGGAACCCACCAATCGGATGCGCCAACCAATCACCTTGAGTGGGAGGTCTCTGTGGGCCTTGGCGCCAGAGACAATAGAGACTGAGTGGACTTAGCGGTCTCTGTTGACAGAGACAACAGAGACGCATCTGATATCGTTTTATATAAACAACCTAGGTCGAGCACTCCTTATGAGTCTCGACAAGTAAGCAATACACATTCATCTGCTTCATTACTTGTGAAGGAAATCTACATTGTGTGTATCAAGACTTCCATCAGTATTGTTCAAGGAGCTTACCTTCCCTACGTGACACACCCACCCAACCCACGGCGTACCGCCTTGCAGTTCAGACACCCTGTGTGTGGATTGTAATAATGGGCTTGGAAGCAGCCATGATTTGAAGATTTCGTAACAGAGTCACTTGTTAAATCTCAAGAGCATCGAAAATTTAACGGATCTAAATAAAATACCGAAACCTTGTCCATATATATTAATTATTGTAATGTTGTATTATGGGGTAGCAGAACGTTGAGTGAATATTTAACTTATCTTTGTTAAAGATAATTATAGGACAACTCAAGTGATAATGGTGACATGAGTAACCAAATAGAAGATCGTATTGCTGTTAAACGTTCCTGAAGCGGTAACTGTTACAATCCACACACAGGGTGTCTGAACTGCAAGGCGGTACGCCGTGGGTTGGGTGGGTGCGTCACGTAGGGAAGGTAAGCTCCTTGAACTGTGCTGATGGAAGTCTTGATACACACAATGTAGATTGCCTTCACAGGTAATGAAGCAGATGAATGTGTATTGCTTACTTGCCGAGTCTCGCAAGGAGAGCTCGGCCTACTTAATTATATAGACATATGAATACTTCCGTGCTTCATGCTCTTTAGCCAATCAGGTTGTTGCTCTCACTGCTCTCGATGCTCTGTGCCCAGAGCACCCAGAGCCCACAGAGCAACCTCCTAATTGGCTTGCCTGTCTTGCTCTGTGGGTCCGGCCGTGGGACCCGCAGAGCCACCCTTTATTACTTCTGATTGGTCCGGCGCACGGGCAGTTTGGCCAATGACGCCCTTGGTCGAGCGCCGCCTCCTGCAGATTGAAATCGTGACAGTAACGTGAAGGGTAGTTCGAACGTGTGTATTTTTTTTCTAAAGGGATGTTGAGAAGTAGGCTTAAGCGTAAGCAAGGACAACTGTAGATTAAGGGATTAAAGAAGCTAGTATTCCTTGCCTAAAGCTTATGGTAGGAGACAAGTAACAGCCTCTAAGTTAATGATCTTAAGATTATGAAGATGAGAAAATCTTATTCCTCTAAAGGAAAACATTTTTAAGTAAAAAATGTGCTGGAAAATGTAAGTAATAATTTATTATAAAACAAAAAACTAAATAGATGGGAATTATAAATAATGAACAATACCGTACCTAGAAACTGCAATAAGTAGGCTAGTAGAAAATACGAAGGCGTAAATGAGATAACAATCATAAAGCAACTCGGCAAACTAACTACTTAGGGATAAGGAGGGCTCATTAATCTCGATTAATACGAGTAAAATATTGTTGTACGACTGTTTAATTAAAACAAAGCACTTTTCAAAAAGATGATAAATCTAAGTATTGTGTGTGATGTCTGCCCGATGCCGGCTGGTTAACGAATTAACTGAATTATTAAAGGTTTGGTTTTAGAGGAACCCCCGGTTAATGGCGGCCTTAGCGTGAGGGTCCTAAGGTAGCGAAACGCCTTGGCCGTTAAATGCGGTCTTGCATGAATGATTTAACGATACAACAGCTGTCTCTATGATTGACTCAGTGAAGTTAGACGAGAAGACCCTATGCAGCTTTACTGTTACTAATCATTGAGTATGATCCCGGCAACTATTAGTGTATAAGGTAATCGATAAGATGTAATTGAAACACCTTTATTATTCTATCATATTATTACTTGGTTTAAGTTAGCAGAAGGAAATTAACCTTAAATTAAAAGGAACAACTGCTAGGAGACAATTTATGCGGGGCACAGACCCCATAAAGAGTAAATGGATGTGTCTAAAATTTAAAATTTAATGTTTGCAATTTTTTATAGTAATCCTATATTTAATCATATTTATTCTATTCATGTCGTATAATAGGTATATAATTTTTTATATACATATTGTATTCCGTGGGTGCAGTATAAAAATTATATGTGTATTAATTTACATATTGAATTATAGGAAATTAGGTAAGATTTTATTTATCGAGAAATTAGATGTAATATAAAAAATATTATGAATTAACTTTCTAATGTTCTTTATAGTTATTACTATTATAGTTTACACTATAATAATGATAATAATGTTTATTACTTATAAAGCTTAATGGCTTAATTAGTCGCGTAAGCGGGGCATAGGATCGCAAGATAAAAAAAGGAAAGATCTTGGATTTTTGGAAAAGCTACGCTAGGGATGTTTATCCTTCGATATTTTAGAGAGAGCTAATATTAAAGCTTATTCTAAAAACCTTTGAGAATATATTGGGTTAATTTCCAAAAATACTTTAATAATTTAAGTAAATTTGAAGCGAAACTTATCTTAGTACAGTATATAAAAGATAAAACTATTCAACGACTATAAGATGAGTAATGCTAACACTAATTCTTTATTAATACCAAGGCTTTTTTGGGCTTCTATATCTAAATATGTTGAAAATAAAAACAAAAATGAAGTTTAATGTAAATAGTAATATAAATATGAGTACGGATACTATAAATATTAAACCTAACATTAAAAAAATATTTTTTAATAAGTATATCACAAAGAATTCTAAATTAATACCTTTTAATATTAAAATTTAAGCAGTAGGAAATACTAAATATTTTCCCACTATTTCTAAAGAGTGAAAAAAATAGTATTCATGTTTTTCATCATAGTAATAAAAATTCTACGTGTTTATATTATGAATATTAATTCATTAATAATAGATTATTTTAATTTACATTTTAATAATAAAATTTCATTTAATAAATATAGACCTCGCAGATATAGACACTTTATCTCTTGATAAAATATTTGTAAGTAAAGCAGAAATAAAAATACTAATGCTAAAGCTATTTTAACGGTTTATATTTATAGAGAAAAAATCTCTTTATTAAAAAAGATAAAAGATTTAGAAGAATCCTTTCATAATAAACTTAAATTATGAATATCTATAAATAGTCAATTAGGCGGTATGAAATATTATACCGGTAAATCTAAAAAACTAATTTGATATATTAAATACACAAAAGCTTTATTACATAAAGAATTAATACTTTTTAGAAAATACAAATTAAGATTAAGTAATTTGATAGAAAAATATTATAATAAAAAAGTAATTTTTAACATTGTGAACATTGAACCTATTATTTTTAATAGCGATTTGTTTACTAAAATATTGACACTAAAAATGAAAGATAAAAATGCCAGTGTACTAAAAATGATGGATATCATTTTAAACAAAGCTGTTTTACCTAGAGTAAATAGAATAATTGAAAAAAGTGTAACGGTAAAAACTCTTGATTTTAATTTTATTAGAAAATAAATTTGAAAAGCTTAATATAAGTTCCATATTAAACAGTAATAATTTATCTCAGTCGGTAAATGAAATTTACTTCAATGTTAGAGGTTACACCTTAAATATTAATTTTAAAAAAGATTATCTAAAAATATATATAAATATATTTGATTCTATAAATCATAAAAACATGAGAGGTGTAAGGTTAGAAGTTAAAGGGAAATTAACTAAGCGTTATGGAGCTGATAGATCTTTATTTAAAGTAAAAGGAAAAGGTGGATTACAAAATATCGATTCATCTTATAAAGGATTATCTTCTGTTAATATGGGAGGTTATATTAAACCTAATGTGGAGTATTCTATGTTTACGTCTAAACGACGTATTGGTTAAAGTTTGAATTAGTGGTAAATAAATAAAGGTTTTTAATAGCAATAAATACATAAGAAAAAGGAAAGGAAGAAATAGTCTCAAACATTTTTTAATGATGGAAATAAATTAATATGACAACAAGTTGAACAAGCTAATTTGCGCAAGAATGCACAAAATGAGTGCGCGGTTTGGCACCTCGATTTCGGCTTAACTTATCCTCATGGATGCAGAAACTATGTAGGGTACGACTGTTCGTCGATTAAAAAGTTACATGAGTTGGGTTAAATACGTCGTGAGACAATATGGTTTCTATCCTCAAGGAAGAAGTTAAAATATAATAAGGATTAACCTTATTTATATAGCAGTTTTATTAACCTATGGTTTACCTGGTGTTTATGTGCCCAATATTAATTTATTAAGAAAACAATTTTCTAATTAGGGATTGAGTATACTTTGAAGGGAGGATGTTATCGTCACTTAAGTAAATAAATAGCATAAGCACGGCAGGAAAGCTAAGTTAGTCAAAATAAGTGCTGAAAGCATATAGGCACGAAACATACCTTAAGATATTTCTTAAGTATACGTAATATTTTATTACGCTAATAGGCTTAATTTGTAATAATCTAGAGATTTTAAGGAATTGAGTACTAATTTTATAAAAAACTAATTAGTATATATCTCATACATCATAGCTTTAGCCTAGTTAGCATAATAGTAATGCGATTGTTTTGTAAGCAGTTTAAGTGCGACCCTTGTACCGGGCTTATATACGGGGCTTATAAACCAGGCTTATAAATCCCCAGCCCCTTTTTTGAGGATTAGTAGTCAAGTGGTATGACATAGCTCTTTCAATGCCACCATCCCGGGTTCGATCCCCGTCTAGTCCATATATAACGAAGATAAAACTAAAGACTAAAGTAAAGTAATTATTACATATTACTAAACTGGATTTTAATTTAATTATAGGCTATAGTTAATTTATTCGTGCCGGTTAGTGTAATAGTAACATTTTCGGCTCGTGACCGAAAGACATTGGTGCAAATCCTTTATCCGCTTAATGCTTAAAACTTGTTAAGCTACTATTGAGACTTGAGATCTTTGGACAAATATTTAGTACCTTTATCTTAATCCTAAGTTTTTATTTAAGATGATGGAGTAATAAAGAATTTACTATTAAAAAGGGGCTATAGTTTAATTGGTAAAGCGTACTGCTCATGACAGGTTTAGTAAGTGCTCAAGTCACTTTAGTCCTAATGTATATAGGGTCACTACATATAAGATATAGAAAACTGTAATTCTTTTTTAGCCTATATTATTACTTTACACCTGACTTCCCCCATCTCTTTTTTTTTATTAGAGATAATATAGTGGCTTTTAAATCCGAGTGATGGAATGGTAGACATAACATGCTTAAGCCGTGTCGGTTAGTAGCCGTGAACGTTCGAGTCATTCCTTGGATATTAATAATAATATTATATATTATTGTTGTTGTGTGTCTTGTGTTTAAATTATTGTTCTGTTTAAATTATCAGGGGTCATAATTTAGTTGGTAAAATGGTAACTTTGCAAGTTATTCTGGAAAGTTCGAGTCTCTCTGACTCCATATTGCAAAAGTATTCATTTAATTTATTTACTTAAGTAAGCTGTTTAGGTAATAAATGTTATACGACAATCTTTAATTTAAATAATTATATATATAATAAAAATGCTATAAACCTAATGTTAATATATACTATATATTTATGTATAGCCCGAGAAGCTCAATTAGTTGAGCAGAGCATTGAAGCTGCTTTGGTTGTCAGTTCGAGTCTGATTTTGGGCAGCAGGTATACTGGAATTTGGTAGACAGACTCCGTTTAGGCCGGGGCGGGGTGAGCCGTGTAAGTTCAAATCTTATTACCTGGAATAGGATAGGAAACTAAGAAGTAATAAATAATATATGGTACGAAAACCATACTATAAAATTCTTTTTGTGGTCATGTCATAAATTGATAACTACCTTCTTTTTACTATACTATAACTAACTAATTTAAGACTTTTCATTATTAAATTTATATGGTATAGACTAATGGGTAAGTCACAGATTTTTAGTATCTGTATTTGAGTGTTCGAGTCACTCTAACATAACTTTCTTAGCGGTGAGGGTGCGGCTACAAGTGCGGGGTACGGTGCGGGTGCGAGGGGAGGGTCATAATGGGAATAGTTACTTATGAACTCCTCTTGGGATAGTTAGTTAGTACTTTTATTATTTAATACTAATATCTTTATTTGTATTAAATTTTGTATGAATATTAATTACAATTCTATAAAAGAAATGTGTTAATTAGTATAATATATACTTGGGTATTTTATATCTCAGATAAGTTACTAAATTATTTTATCAAACATTCAAGTTGGACTAAATCTTTTATAGCCATTATTACTGCCTATACATTCCTTATATTTAAGTATAATATATTACCTCTTATTTCTACAACGGGAGAATTAAAATTTTATATTCCCAGTTTCATTACTAATAATATAATTAGATTTAAGTCTTTGTTGTTTTATTATATTATGTTATGGATATGGATACTATATTCATCTGCTTATTTTTTTGGTACATTGATGATTTTCTGGTATATTTACTATAAGATATTTATTTATTAATACCTGTATTGAATACCGGCTACAAAAGGAATTCTTTATAATATTACTGATTTCTAATATTTGATATATTCATTTTATAAATATATCATTCTATTTTAAAGTAAATGTATATGCTTTAAATTTATTCGTGTTCTTAATACAACGTCATCATTTCCGTTGAAAAAGGCCCTTTTAATTATGGATTAAATTTCTTTACACCTCAATCGATCTTGAGAATTTTTATTTTGTGATAAACTGGTAAAAAGAGCAATATTTATTTATTAATCAAACTTTCCTTATTTAATATTTCTCTATAAGCTAGATCGAGGTACAATTTATAAGACTTTCTTTTTAAATATTATTGTCACGATTTCAACATGTGGCATAGTGGAGACAGGTGGAACCCACCAATCGGATGGGCTAACCAATCACATTGAGAGAGGGGTCTCTGTAGGCCTTGGCGCCAGGGACAACAGAGACAATGGAGACTGAGTAACCTCAGCGGTCTCTGTTGACGGAGACAACGGAGACGCATCTGATATCGTTCTATATAAACAACCTAGGTCGATGTGACGATCTGGATCCTCGTCAAGGGGTATAGGGTGAGGCTCAAGGGGGTGAATGGTCACACACAGTAACCAAGAGTGGATAGAGTATCAAAGAGTAAATAGATCGCTTGCTGAACCACGGTTCAATTGCATAGACTTAACTGTCTACTTTGGGTTGATAGCTGAAGAACCGCAAAGGCTCTTCAGCTCTCTTGTTTATATACATCATGGTGGCCCCCCTAGGCCCCCTTGTGGCCCCCCAAGGGGCCATCCTCGAGTGGAGGGGCCACTTGGTCCGTGCGCCAGCTCATGCGGAGTCCCCCGCATGTGCTCGTGCTGACCCCACAACTTCCTCCAATGAGGATCGTGACAGTCGAGCTCTCCTTAAGAGACTCAGCAAGTAAGCAATACACATTCATCTGCTTCATTACTTGTGAAGGCAATCTATATTGTGTGTATCAAGACTTCCATCCGCATTGTTCGAGGAGCTTACCTTCCCTACGTGACGCACCCACTCAACCCACGGCGTACCGCTTTGCAGTTCAGACACTCTGTGTGTGGATTGTAATAATTATATTCATAATTTTAACTTTTTTTATTTAATGAAATATTGTTAATTATAGTTAAAAATGTTATGTTATATAATTACTTTCATTTCGTATAGTTTTAAACCAATTTTAATTATTCTTAATAAACATAAGCCATAATGATATTTAAAAAAACGGTTTTTACTTTATAGAGCTTTAATAAGTAAAAGTTGATATGAATATATATATACATATAATAAGAAATCCAATTCATTTATATAATACCTAGCTTTTTTAAAAAATTCTAAAGGCTAAATTATTATTGTCACAATCCTAATTAGAGGATACCTCTGGGGCTTAGACAGGTGCACAACATGTAGGCTGGTCCTGTAGGACATAAGGGCAGGGACCATGTTACTCTAGTGGCTCTGTATTGTCAAGAACGCCCACGGAGCAAATAAGAGGCCAATTAGGTTCGAGGCTCCACTGGCCCTATGGTAGGAAGGATAGAGCTAATAGATCCACCATGGTTCTATATAATAGTGAGGGCTGAATAGCCACTATGGTTCTTCAGCTATCAACAAGAGCACAGTTATTTTTTGCAATCGAACAGCGGTTCAGCAAGTGATCTATTTACTCATTTAATACTCTATCTACCCATTGTTACTGTGTGTAGCTACTCACTCCCTTTACAAATAATTAAATAGCCTTCAAACTTAATAATTACGTTATATATATTATTCATTATATACTCTGACCGAAGACCTTAAAACATAATATTCTTTAAAAGAAAAATACGCTTATATAAAGAAGAATGGCGCCCTGTATTAAAGCTATATTATTATGCATACTATAAAAATACGTTAGTAATGAAAAATAAAGAAATTTGAATTTGAATATATTTTATATAATGAATGATTATTTATTTTTGCTTATAAAAACACGAATAGAAAGTTTAATTGTAATAATATGTAAGATTCAATATTATTATTTATATAACTAATTTTAAAAGAAGTCATTAATATATACAAAAAAATATAAAATATTAATAAAGTTCCATTATTTAGATAGTTGTTTAAATATAACTGATTTTAATGCCTCTAGTATATATGCCTTTCCAATAAACTATTACAATCCACACACGGAGTGTCTGAACTGCAAAGCGGTACGCCGTGGGTTGGGTGGGTGCGTCACGTAGGGAAGGTAAGCTCCTTGAACAATGCGGATGGAAGTCTTGATACACACAATGTAGATTGCCTTCACAAGTAATGAAGCAGATAAATGTGTATTGCTTACTTGCCGAGTCTCTTAAGGAGAGCTCAGCCTAGCTGCTTATATAGAACTATCTATTTGAGTGCTCCCTTGTGCTCTGTCTCCATAGCACAGAGCACCACAGAGCAATGTCTTCCAGCTGCTAAGACTACGTGGCAACTGCCTGCAGTTGTCGCCCCACATAAACCAGTGCGGCACCTATTAGCAAGTGTTGCCCCGCATTCTGTCACATGACTAATGGGAATCGTGACATAAACTTATTTTATGTCTTTATTACTAAACCCTTTGTGAATTTTTTACTTATTTCATGTAGAATAATATAATTAATCCCTTCAATTTTAATTGAACAAAACTTATAACTAAAGATAATATAAGTATATGAAAAAAAATTTAAAATAGAAATTTGATTTAATATTTTATATTATTAATCTTCTAGTATGTCAAATTCTTTGAAGTAATAGAAATATAAATAGAATTTAAAGTATAAAAAAGTTATTTCTAAATAAATCCCCTATATATTTTAAAAAGAGTTCTGAAAAGAATTGAAAAGGGGTTGTTTGCCAAATGAATAATAATACAGCTACACTAATTTATCCATCAAGATTTGAGATGAAAAATATTACGATTCTCATCTATAAAGCAAATTACAAGTAGGATAAGTTCTATGTGGTTTATTAGGTTAGGAGGAACGGACTAACTAGGGCAAGCCCGGGGCCTGACCTTCATTTGCCTAGGCTACGGGATAGAGCTTGGGAAATAAGTACGAACTTTCTTATAAGACTTAATAAATAAGCAATATATCTTTATTTATTTTATACGTATATACTAAACCTTTTACTTTATAATATGCCGACTTATAATTTGAATACCCTATATGTAAATTATAATATATTGTATACTTTACTAACATAATAATACCTTTGGATCATTTAGTAAAGCGGGGGCCTTCTTTAAACAATAATCCATTAATTACTAACTTGAGCTTTAAAAGCCCGCAGCTTCTATAATATTTATTAAACGCGGCCACGGTAACACCAAAAGCTGAACTTATGCCTCACTCTCTAATTTCCAAATAGATATTAAAAGCAGTGACAAGGAAAATAACTTGAAACTGGTTTAAAACGCTGTATAGTAATTGAAAAACATTATTGTTTTATATAGAGGACTTTCAAAGGCTTTAAAAATAAACAAAAGGCTCTATAATCTATTATTAACTGTAATTATAAAAATTGAATAAGAAGGGTTTTTAAAGAATTATAAACGTTAATAAAAACGGCATAATAAAAATAAACCTGTAATTAGTTGATTACCTAAAAGGGACTGTTAAGGTTTTGAGTTTCCAACGGTTTAAACTTAAACGAATTGAAAACGTTTCAAAATTAGAATTTATAAAAAATAAAAAATAAAATCCTCTAAAATATTAATAAATAAGGTTTTATTTATCAAAGTCATCTTAGTTAAAAAGTTTATTATCGTAATATTAAACCGTTATAAAAGAGTATTTAAAACGGAAATTTTAGCTTTCAAGATTGAAAAGGCGAACGGAAAGTTCTTCCTAAGAACTAAAACTAGAAAAAAGTCATAAGAAACATATTTTGAAAAAATAATGGAATTTTTTATGTAAGTTTATTTTAAGAAATCCTCAAGTTAATTTCCAATGAAACCTATAGTACCTTTTCAGATAAAGATATAAGTACTTATTAAAATAAAATAGTATTTAAGGAATATTTTCATTAAGGATCCAAAAACGAAATTAAAACCGCAATTTGCTTAATTTGAAGAAGATTGTAATAAATAAAATGGTTATTATGATAAGAAAAAGTATTAAATCCATAAAAACTCCTTTAAGTATTATATATAATTATATATTTAAGGCTCATAATTATTTTAATGCTTGAAAGAGGTAATTTATATAAAAATAACAATCATAATAATGATAGAAAAAAAAGCCATTAGGTTCGAGAATAAAAATTAATTCTCTCTGTGAAATCTAAAATTATTACACACAGCCTTAAATACATTTAAAATAATTCATAAATTAACGATTAGAATGACAATCCGCTACATAAACTTTTTAAGAAGAGTTTAATTTATTAAATACAGTTTTGTCCTTTTTCTGGATAACTTTTTTATTAATATAATTATAATGATA